AAGGTGAGGCGTTGAAGTTTGACTTCCGTCTTTTGTCTTTAACCTTCAAACCTTTTTTTTTTCTTGTTGCCATTATCTTTTACTATACTTTTTGTTGAACATGAGACTTACCGTCTCGACATTCCTGTCCTTAGATGTGGTAAATGATTTATCATCCGGGGAGGGGCGGGGGGGGGGCTAGCCGTAATAACTCAGGCAGCTATCATACTCAGCGACAGTGAAAGCTATCGCACGCAGCGAACAGCTCCAATGATATGGAAGCAAACGAAAGAGCGTTCATATAGTGGCGTTGAGAAGAGTTAGCTTGTGACAAGGCATGCGTGTGAGCCTCAACAGAGTCTCGTTTCTTCTATTTTCTTTTTGGTGCAGATCCATGGGTTTTCATTGTCTTCACGATGGCCGCCTAAGCTGGTCGCTATACCTCGCATACTCTAACTAGCCACACAGGAGTGACCTAACCATCCGTGAGCTAAGAGGTCAGGGAGTTTGGGAAATTCAGGAAATTGATAAGCTAATCGTATGCAATTTAATTAGAATGTGCGAAGTTATATGGGCACGCTTCCTCTCGGAGGGTAAGTTCGGCAACTGCCTAGGCTGTATCGAATCATAACTAATTATAAGATAGCTGCTCCACATCAGCTTATGAAGCAGAAGACTTTCTTCCATGGATTCACTTAATAATTGAGATGGGCTCACGATGTGCGCGCTGATTCTCCCAATATTACGCTCTGTAGCTTTTAAGAATGAGTATTCAGCATTCAAGCAAAACTGGGCATTTTTTTGTTTTTGTTCACAAATTTGGCCGTACGCATCATGTAGGTAGGTGAAACTGTTTGCTGAATTATTTCACAGAAATTATAAGGTGCTCGTTGTTGAGTCACTCACCATTGATAGTTAGTTACGGACTCAATGACACAAAGGTGTTGAAGCTTTGCGGAAATCCTTTCCAAAATCACTGTTGACATGTAGTAGTCAAGGTCTTGGCTCTTACTACTGTGTTTGAAGTATTGTCAAATCTTTTGATTATAGAAAACATTCCGTGCGTCCTACAGATGAGCTGAAGTTGCTGCAGGTTTGTGAAGTTTTGCATCTCTCCTTTATTTTAACTTCTTTTACAATTTCATAAGGCTCCACTTATATTGATCTCAGGATCTCGTTTTTCATCTTCCTTTTCCTACTTGTTTCTTGAATCACCTCCTAATATTTTGGATGCCCCACCACAGATAGTGTTCATGTCCAGCCAATTCCGACATATGCAAAGTAAAGCAATATCTCTTCGGCACGAAATGATCACTATAACTCGATAAAATCTTCAATCAAACAAGAGTTATCAGCGCCGACTTCTACATAAGCCTCCTCCTTCCTCCCTCTGCACCAAAAAAGAAAAATAACCACTATTCTTGCCCTTACAATCTTCTTCCAATAATTTCAGGACAGTTTTGACGCAATTTTTCACTCCTTCCTGCTGGGCGACGATGTCGTCAGCCGCCGCGGAAATTCGACCGAATCCGGGGTGAACAGCGACGACAGCGTTCACCTTCATAGTGAGTAGCATGTCTTTCTAGTCCTTTGTTATCAATTCGTTTTGTACCAGTGTCAATGTTTTTCTTAAGCTTTCTTACATTTCCAGTTTTTCTTGATTTTGGTGGTTGTAGTTTCGTATAATTTCTCATGCTAAACTTTCGTTAATGGAGGCGCTGCTAGTGTTTGTTGATCTCCAAACTTGTTTTTCAGTTTTTCTTTGGGTAATCTAGTACAACAGTTGCGGCAGTCATTTTCTCCTGTAAGTCTGCTGTGTGAAATTGGGGAACAGGCCTACCCTTCACGACCACATTTTCTTCTTCAATAACCTGGCGAAAGTCTTCAAAGTTCAAGTTTCATAGCAAATTTAATCAAAAAAAATTGTCAATCAACTCTGAAAGTAGGGTAACTGTGGTATTGAGTAGGGACCTTTTCGTGGGCGCTTAACTGGCTCCGAGTGAGTTTGTCAGTCACCTGGTAATTCCAAATTTTCGAGATTCGATATAAATTTTTTAATTAATCTCCCTGCACCTTCTAGCATCCATTATTCCACAGTGATAACTGCCTTCACTTTTAGATGATAGCGGATGCGAAAAAGTAGAACCTCCAGCTGAGAAAGTACCTCGACGAAAAAAATCTTCCACAGAATGCTCAATGATGGTTAGTTGCCGCCCATTCTTATTGTTCTATTTTCCCTCCTGCGTACAGTTTGGTTTTTTTAATTTCCAAATGGAGAACCTTTTTACTGGTGTATTCCTTCTCTTACTTCATTGTATTTGTGAATTTGGTTATTTGTCCCATTTTTTAGCTTCACTCTGTAAGTGATTTGAAGGTGCTTTGTGTGAACACAATGAGATGGGCTCCCTTTCACTTCATATTCAGTCCGTTTCAATCGTTTTTTGCGAAATGTTACTTTTTTGGCAGCGTGCTGCAAAAAAGCAATACCAATTGAAGTAAATATAGGTCATTCGCCGTAATGGGAGGTCCTTTTATCGTAGGTCAGGATACTACAGGAAGGCAAAAATCGCGAGAAAGGGAAATTTCATGGAGGAGGGAAGTGAGTGGTGGAGTTGGGGAAGGTAGAGGTTGACGACAGGGGTGCTTTTGCGGCAAAAGGCGCGATACCCACGTCGATACAAGGCGACTGTGTACCTGTACAGCCCATCCCCCTTCCTCCCCCATCCCCGCTCCGCCTACCGCTGACACTTGGATTATATTGGGATTATAAAGCAATGTGATTAAAATAAAATCGGCATTGTCGTTGTTCCTTTTTCACCTCTCAAAGCGCGCAGCTGTGCTGGCCATTGAAGCAACAACTCCCTGTCGGTCTAGTCGGTCAAAGTGCAGGCAATTTGGCTTCACTCGAACAATTTTTAATATGCTAGCAGTCAGTTGACTCGCTTCGAAAACTAACTGGTAGCATGGGGTCCCTTTTTGGGATTTTTACATTTTCTCTTGTCTTGTCTCAATACTGTCTGGAACCGCTGCTCATCTTTTGCCAGCAACTACTTATCTTGGTTGCTGGCGTCACGATGTTTAATCCCTTGACTTCCGTAATGATAAACAAATTTGGATGGGGTAGATTTCTGAACCATTGATTTGCCTAGATTTGATGTTAATGATAGAAGGCAGAAAAGAGGATCAATTTTATTGCGCTCTGGCCTTCTGGGTGTCTGGGGTTTCATACATGTTTCCCAAATTTGACCTTGCTCTCCTCGTTCTTGTGAATCAAACGTGCGCGCTCTCTGAAAAAGTCGCATGAAAACTTCGAAGGACCGTTAGGACTAGGAGAGCTTAGTTTTATCATTCCGTTTGTGACTTTTTCATCCAAATTGAACATTTGTACAGAAGGGATGTAGTGCGCAACGTATCAATTTGGTAATTCAGAAACCTCTTACTGTCGACGTCGAGACTAAGGCTGAGTGTGCCGGCTCTTGTTCTTCCACACGATGTAAGGTTTTTCATAATAATCAGCTTTGTTCGTTTTATCCAAACCGCTGCACGTTGGATTTTTTGCGATCGCTCATCATTTACTTTTTTCTACAACTTTGCAATGTAAGCGGCTTTATTCGCCATACGCTTGCCTTCTTCGTGCATTTTTAGTCTTCTATCACTCACTGTGAAGTCTCGTCACCTTCTCACGTTAATTCGCATTTTTTGCGTTTATATTTTATTATTCATGAACAGTTATTTGTCTGTGCCTTATTATAGCCAATCATAGTGGCTAATGTAGTTAACGTTTATTGAAAAATGGCTATTTTTTTCAGCGGTTACCTCTGATCCCATCTCCTTCTCGAAGAATGTGCGAGAAGTTGGTGGATTCGCTCTCACCGTACTTCAGTACGTCATCAGAAAAAAGACGCACCACACAAAAGGGTGAATTCGCGCAACTCAACAGCGGCCGAACTAGAAATGGTACGTTTTTATGATGCAATTTTGTTGGAGTCATACAGCCGGAATTAATTGAAATGCATGCGAATCTTGGGGCCACTTCAATGCAGTTCAAAATAAGTTCCGGGTCACTTCAACAGTAAACCGTATTAACAACGGCAAGCCATTTACTGCGTCCAACTAAGGTCGTAAAATATCTTTGAAAGGGTTTCGCCGTTGCAGCACTAAAAATGATAATCATTTTTTATTGTTTATTTCTCTAAGTGTTGTCGGTCCTGCATTTTGCTCTCTGTAAAACTTGTGCTTTCCCGTGAATAATCAAGCAATATAGTCGAATCAAGTGTTCGTTACTTGGTCTCTTATACAATACAGTCATTTAGAGTATCCTAACCTGAGAATGCTTATAATTTGCTTCGCCCCCGTATTCATTTCCTGACATCTACTCTTTTTGTTCTCATATCTTTAACCAGTTCTAGATGTAAGTCCATATAGCTGACCAAAAAGAGCTATTCTCAAATCATAGGTAAACAAGGTGAACTTTCCTCCACTCTCCACTTTTCTCATTGCTTTTGGAGAAGAAGGGTTATACAATTGGTGTGAAGATGCCTCATGTGACCATTTCTTTTTGAGACATTATGCTTTTGATTTCATTCAGGATCGTAGGAGCACTTCAATGCGTATGTTTTGCTATGAATTAAATTTAGGGATTCTATTAGATGTGCCGATTGGTTTCTCTGCTCTTATAGATTAATCTCTGACAAATCTGGATATGTTATCATTTAAACGATCCATATCGCATTCGTACAAGCATGAGCATCAGTGCTGATGCCATTGACTTCCTCCATATTCACTTCCCCTATTGTGGCGCAATTCATGCCAGGTACAGTGATCCCCAGATCGAAGTCGGTCTCGAGATTAAGCTCCATTCCCGCTTGGCTCCTTTATAGTGCAGTTTTTCTCAAGCCCTTAAAACAAATACCAAATTTCATTCACATTTTTGAGTGTTGATACAGCGATGGGGTGGGTGAATCTGCATTTGAACAACATCTCATAGGGATAATGTTTTCTGGTCGCTCGTTATTCCATTGATTTTCCATTTTCCAATCGTGAGCAGCAGTTGAAAAAGACCGCGGAAGTCGGTCGTTCGATCTTTGTGATTTCTTCTTGTGTCTTGTAGATTATATCCATATGGTCATCTACATTGTGCTAAATTCTTTGAAATATTTGACACATAATTTTCAAGCTGTTTATCTATGCATTTTGAGCGATTGCGAAAATGATAGCAATCAATTTTACTCCCCTATTTATGTGCCTGCTAGCTAGCTTAATTCGATAACTTGTTCATCGAGGACTCCCCATCGGGAGTGTCCATTTGGAATGTGCGCAAAAGAAGCAAGTGTGGGTGTCTGAGAGTTATTGAATCCAGTACCATTTTTGACTTTGTTTGAGCATTAATAAGGGGTGGAATTTGTTACAGCGCAAATTTTTCCATACAGCCAAATGGATGAGCCCTTCCCTCCAGAAAAATGGCGAAGAAACGGAAGAATGGTGTTAGGTGCCGCAATCCTGTTCTAAATTGTTAACCACATCAGAAGTGTTCAGCTTCCTCTCTTTGGTTGGAGTGAATTATTGGGAATGGTAAAGTATTAGAGGCACAGGAGTATGCTCGGAAGGGCAGTTTTTGGGGAGTAGTATCACAGGCTACAGTAATCGATGCAGAAAATGATCACCACAGCAAGCTCCTGTCGCTTCCTTGATATTTTTCACGAATTTTTTCTTCGTTCACATTGAAGGAATCTTCGCGTGGAAAGTGCTCGGTGCAATTGGGACACGCGTCACCTCATACCCAAAGCACCACTACACAACCTAAAACATGGCGAGTGACTGATTGTAGTTAAATCGCGATATATTCGTTCGCTTTCTTGTTGAGCTGTTTGAATTTGAAGATGTAGGCCCAAAAATTGTTGTATGCCATCGCATAGGTATAATTTTCCACGCTTCGCCAAGCCATGCCTGCCACCTCCTCTGCTTCAAATGGTGAACTCATTTACTGCCGCGATTGGCGAGATTTAGATTAATGGTAGTTTGTCCTTGAGAGGCAGTGAATGCATTGTGAGCCTACTGCAGATGAGTAGTTGAAGCTGTTGCGTGGCATTTTCCAGTAAGGATGGAAGTGGAAAGTTTTGCGGCATTCCTAAGGGCCGGCGAGATTGCGAGGAAGGTGTATGAGGTCGCAATAAAGAGGGAACCACATTCGAAATAACCAGATTGATGACATTTGCAAAAGGTTTATAGTAAAGATGAAGGAAAAAATGAGGAGAATCCCTAATTTGCGTGAAGCACTGTATCACCATCGTACGACTGGTAAATAGCTTCTGTACCTTCAACGCGGCCTATCACCATGAGAGGTGCGCAAAGCGAATGGTTCATTGTGCAAACTGATAGAATAAGTAGGCTGTAGTTCTTTGTTGGTTTAACCCTGACCGGCGTCGACGTTCAAGTTTTCTTTGTGCTTATCAATATTATAAGACCCTTGCACATCGCATCAGGCACAACCATAAGGTTAATGCGCACTAAGGAGTTTGACAGAAGTTTTAGGTGTTTCGAGCCTAGGAAGAACCTAGATTTTCGTTCGCACGGAACAATGAAATAGGCATAGATTGAATAACATTCACAACTCTAGGTTTCAGATAGCCTAAAAGACGCTGTACAGCAAATTATTCAATTCTCAAGGAATGGAAAACTTTCAGTTCAGTTGACACTCTCGTGAAATCTGCCATTGATGTTTTTTGCATTCGCTTTCTGGGGCGGTAGAGGAATTTCAGCCGTTGGGCAGCTATTTACGAGACCGGCCACCAAATCAAATTGATCCTGAAATTTTACAGTGACAAGAAGTGAACTGGGCCTTTGAAGGAGACGATTCGGGTGGGGGGGGGGGGCTAGGCCTCAGTTGATGTTTCTACTCAAAAACCACTAGGGAACAAATAAAAGTATCAAACCTCCCATTAATTTTATCGGCTGAGCTTCAGCTCTGGTCTCTCAAATGAGGATGCACGTCTACTTCTTCTAGTGCGTGAAGTGATGCTGATTTAGACTTACCTGAGCGACAAGACCTTTCTTTACTAAACGCTTGATTGAGAGTTTGGGAAGTTTTTTCCTTAGATCAGCTGATGATCTTTCTCGTTAAGAAAGTTTTCTGTTAGAGCTTGATTCGACAAAGACAACTTCGAAACTTCTCAATTCGAAACATTCTGACTGATGTTTGTTGCCTCGTGTCGATTGAGGGGCATGGGTTTTGAATCTGTATACAGTAATCTGCAACCGAGCCAAATAATGATGAAGCGAATCATAATTTGGCTCGCGCTATAGCGGCTGTGCTGGTATTTTGGCCTCGCTGATGTGCAGCCTCGCTATCTTACCTTAAAAAGTTTGCCGGAATTAGCAGTCAGTGGATATCGTGATAATCCTATCAGAAGTAAGCACTCAGTTCTTAGCGCGTTGCATCTGCTTACAGCTGATTAGAGCCAAGTGACTTAAACAGAATCAGTAGAGGATCTGTGAGAAAACTGTGATCTTTTTCTGGTGTTAGCCGTAATACCATTCAGCTAAGGGAGTTGATGAATTGATTTTTGTTTAAGGCTTACATTAGCTTTCGATTTGTGCGGGTTTGACTCCCGATTGGGCAAATTGGGGTTCCACTAGGGGACGGATTCAGTCCTCCCCCAAGGGATTGGGGGACGAAAATCCCTTTAAATTTATTTGTTTTTAACGATATAGTTTCTTCATTTTCAGTGCATGTTTACTTTGACCTACATACATACATTAAATGTAGGCCCTTTATCAGGACAATCCCAGTTGGGAAGACAGAGAAAATTTAAAGGATTTTCGTCCCCAACCCTTGGGCCGCAGAAGGGGAGGCGTAGTGGTTTAGGCTGGTGTCAGAGTCGGCGATCCGTCGCAGGTTTCGCAAATTTTCGCGATTTGCGCGAAACCTGCGACGGAATCGCGGACTCTGACACCAGCCTTAAGCGCTCCAAACGCTCTCAAGATCAACGGCACCTTTCTTTCATGTGTATGCAAGACTAAAGCTTAAGGAGGCGTGGGGGAGGAACTTGGGTACAGGAGGCAACTTTCGTTTTTTAGGCTTAATACGTAAGCTAGCTCCCAGGTGGCATATTACTTTTTCCAGACAGTTAGATCATCCAGTTTAGAGCGCTTACAATATATAAATTAAATCTGAAGAAATGGCGTAAAATGAGGCCGCTAGCAACTTTACTTTACCTTGAACTTCACATCCAACTTTTTATAGACACTAATTTTCAGCTTTTGTCATTTCCTTGTCTAACATAAGCAAATCGTTGAAACAATTTTCTCAGGAAATTTGCAGGATGAATTGTCTAGCATGAAACGAATTCAACTGAAACAATTCTATAAGGAAATTTGCTGGATGAATTTACATCTTTTTCAAACTTTCTAGCATTCCTTCTCATGTATCGAGTATTTGCAAAGAAAACTTTGTAAAAGCTGCCAATTTATCTTGTAAGTGATAGTACGTGTCAATTTTGGAACTGCTGGCTTAGACCATATTGCTAATCCGCTCCCATCTCACAGCAATTTGCTTGAAACTTTTACGGGGGCTGCTACTTCTTTCCTCTGAGGTAACTATTATTGTCACCCGAATTCTAGTGAATTTAAGCTCGAATTCATTCTAATGGGATATTATTCAAGATTCAGATGGGATATTTTTCTCTTGGAGGGGCTTATGAAAATGCTAGCGGCAATATACTGTTATGCTAGCTATGCTATGCTGTTAAGGCGCTGTTTTAAAATGGCTTACGGACGGACTTATTGTTAGTGCTGTTCAGTGCTAAGTAACTGTAGCATGATCTTGCTTCTGATCTACAAGTAGAACCTTGTCTTCATCAAAAGATTCTGGAGGGTGTAAGTGTCTGTGACTCCAGTGAGGGTTTCCACCCACTCTGCCAATGT